AACAATATATTTATGACGATAATATTTCGTGACAAATGTTGTTTTTTTTTATGTTGTTTTTTAGTACACTGACGTCGAATGACCTTAAATCATCAGAATGACGTTATCTTGCTATTTGGAATACGACAAATGATACTCTACACAAATTTTATACGAATAATCTTACAAGGGAAGTATCGGAAGTGTCCACTCCGATTTTAATGAGCTTCGAGTATGTTATAGACAAAAATAAGAGACACATATTCTTTTTTATCTGCATTCTTGAACGTTAAGGAGGTAAAACCGCTTGAAAAAATCGGTTTTTTTTTTCCTGAGTAAATATCATTCAAACCGTTAAAGATATCAAAAAAAGTTTTAAACAAAAGTTTTACGGCTGCAAATGTACTTTACAACGACGTACCCTAACGGAACATGATATCATATGGATATTCTATATTCATACGGAATATATAATGATCATCAATAATATACGGATAATATATGGAGAAAATTCATATAATATCTCTGTATAATATCATTTCTTGTATAATATTTTTAGGATATACTCAAGAAAACAAATAAACTTTGTTATTTATATTATATGTACTCTGATTATATGTAATATACTCAGAATATTTGTGTACTATCTTGGTGAGTATATCTCGAATGCGCCTTTAACTTGTATTATCAGAACATACTTCGAATATAGAAATTGAAATTGAATCATAGGCAGATACACAACCGCCACCTACATATATCATTTCATTTCTTAAGTTAATTCTCTTGTGATCGAAATTGTAATCGTTTAGATCCAAGGTAATCGTTTTTTCATTTTATTTAATGTTCTATTCTTTTCAATATTACATAGTTATTGAAAATAATTATACAAATATATATTATTTTTTAAATATATTTAATTAATATTTAATTATTTTTCATAAAATTGTATTGCATGCAAATTTGAGGTTATCTTGATTAAAACCATACTGTCCTGTGATCATACCGAAGATACTAAGATTATTCGTATAAAATCTGTACTATTGTTTAATCTACCAAAAAACATTCATATGACATCTTGATAATATATCATTTCTCGTATATTCTTAAACTCATCCTCAGAATATACTGAATATATCCTATTAGTACATGATCTTATACGAATATTCTGTATTTATACTGAATATTGTGATCATACCGAAGATACTAAGATTATTCGTATAAAATCTGTGTAGAATATCATTTGACATATCTTAAGTATCAAGATGACATCATTATGACGATGATTTAAGATTATTTTTCGTCATTCGACGTCAGTGTACTAAATAGTAACATAAAATAAACATAACATTTGTCACGAAATATTACCGTTATAAATATATCGTTATTTAATCGTCATTTTTAATGAATAAATAATGAAATAACATTATTAATTACTATTTTTTAAATTAATTATAATATATAAATAAGAAAAATATTTCCCATATTTAATACAATTATTAACAAATTCATAATAAAGTAAACAAAATATATACAACAATTTATAAACAATTTTTATAATAAAAATAATTCTCATTAAACATAATGTAGGTTCACGGTTCTATATATATAATTTAATTATCTACAAGAATTACATATGCAATCAAGGTTTTAAAATTAAGACTATTTATATGACAATATAATAGCATTCATTAACCGAATCTGTCATATTTTATGTCCGTGTTCACTTATATCATCATTTCAGTTGCAGATTTCATCCCATTATATAGAAGTTAAGTAGCATCGAACAGGATTCCAAGTAGGATGGGTGACCGTTTTAAAAACATGCAATGATACAAGATAAAAAATATTTCATTACTTTCTCTTATTTTTTTCATTCTTTTCACTTATTTTCCGTAAGAAGTGTCACGTATATTATAGATTTTCACGATCTATGGCTGTCTGGGATACATTTATGCATACCCTATATGATATACTGTTTTTCAATTTTTCATCCTATTTTCATCCTATGACCATACTGCAAGATATTCTCCAGTACATACTAGGGATTAGGTTAGTGAACGGTAGTAACGATCTAAATACATTCCACAGTACATCGCAATACGTATTTTGAATGTTCGGAGAATATCTTGAATATACTTGTATGATATTCCATGGAACGTTTTCAGAATAGACGAGTTTTATTAGAGTTAATATTAATTCAATGCAAGAAAATATGAATGTCAGTACATAATTACATTTAAATTTGAAAAAATTTGTTATATTAATTAAATTATTATATTAAATTATTGTATGTTATATTAATGAATGCGTGATATAAATAAATTTTAACTGGTGTAGTAACTTCAGATGTTGAAGAATATTTCATCTGTCAGCTTTTGATTGACTTTTCATTGTGAAGTATCAAAAGTGTTCTGATTTTTTTGGAATAAAATTAAAATATCCATAAGTAACCAAAAACATATTTATTTCGATTGAAAATGTTTCCGAATAAATGCATAATAGATGCCCCGAATAATTTAATCACTCTATACAGATATTTTTAATTGTTATAGAGAGCTTTGTTTTAAACAGAGATGCTTACGAAGATCGTGACTCAATTATTCAAAAACACAAACATTAAAAAAAGCCACGGGCGCACACATATTTGTATTTTAACCGTATCTTTTTGATATCATTTTGTTTTTCTTATATTTATATCATGATATAAAAAATTTTTTATGATGTGTGTGTGTGTGTGTGTGTGTGTGTGTGTGTGTGTGTGTGTGTGTGTGTGTGTGTGTGTGTGTGTGTGTATATACACACAAGATTCAGAAGTAATGCGTTACGTGTAATATTGTTATTAAATTACGTTTTTCGATAACGTTATTTTTTTCTATTTAACAAGGACAGTGCTGACGTTATATTTTCGAGTAATAGCCTTTACATAAATTTTCAATTGAGAAATAATGATTAATAATTTATTTAGTATTAAAAAGTATGTTCAGTATTTTTAATCTACTCAAAATAAATAATTTTTAGTATTAAATTGGCCAATATTAAATGGATTTTGTAAGGAAGTAATAAAATTGTTACTTTTATTTTCGTTATTTTTAATTTCGTTACTTTCGTTATCTTTTTATCATTAAATTTCTTTGAAAAAATAAATTGAATATTGGTACAATATAATTCCTCTAGTTATTTTGGATAAAAAAATATTAAGATACAAATGTCAAAAAGCCAATAGTTTACGAGATATTACTTTATTTTGCATAATCTGATGTAAAAGATAAAATATTTCATAAATTATTCATTTTTTAATAAGTATTACACTTTTATGCATAAAGTAATGAAATGAATTAATCAGTGCAATAAAATTACATAGTTAAAAAAAAGATGCAATTCGTAATGTATGCAAGTACATATTTTTCTTTGTATAAAAAGAATTGTACACTTTTTCTACATCAATCGATTTGTCTCATTATTTTATGCATAAAAGTATTAAGGTATGGTCATAAAAAAATAAATACTTTATGAGATATTTTACATTCTATGTTAGAATAGAATATTTGAGAATATCTTTTTAATATCTTATAAACTATTAACTTTTTGATATTTATATTTTAATATTTCTTAATTCAAAATAACTAGAGAAATAGAAATTATATTGTGTAATCAAAAATATATAGTTCTGTTTAAAAAAATACCATTTATAAAAAAATCTCGATATCGACGACAACTGCGAATGAATCAATGTTATAATAATGTGACTCCTTTGGCATCCTATAACTTTTGCTTGAAACATTTTTCCGAAACATATCTCATACTTTTTGAGACATTTGTCTTAAGATTAAAATAGATCATCCCGTATGTAGAGAGAGAGAGAGAGAGAGAGAGAGAGATCACAAGATCACAACAAATTTATTTTTTATAATTTATAATATATTTTATAAAAAATAAAAAAAGTCGCGTAGTGTATACTTTTCAAAAATTTTATTATTAATTATGGACGCCAATTATATCTTCTTAAAAATAAAAATAAAACTCAAGATACACATCTTTGCAATCAAGAATTCTATTTCAATTCAAGTATAATATTACGAAATTACGTAAT